AAGAAAGCTGATGGTGCCCGGCTATCAAAAGATATAGCATCTGGGGTCTTTAAGGCTTGAAGGTAAACAAGCTGCCATCTAGTTCAGAAGCAACAGAGCCCACAACAGTTCAGAAGCATGCCAGCCTGTTTGATCAAGAGGTGTCGATGGGATCAGGTATGAGGCATCAAAGAACAAAAAATTGTGAATGAGGGGGATGCAGATTGGAGAACCCAAAGCCTATCTGTAGGCAACTGAACATCCCCTTAGAGAAGTTCGCAGGGAGGAGACGAGCCAGTCAGGGTGCAGTGTAGCAATGATGAGACATACAACTTTCCTCTAGTTCTTAAATGCTTCCTTTCTCACCTCCCCCCACAATTATCATGATTCCAATTCTACCTTACAAAGCCAGCTAGACCAGAGGATGTACACTGGTACAGATAGGAACTGGAAACACAGGGAATCCAGGACAGATGATCACTTCAGGACCAGTGCTGAGAGTGGCGATACCAGGAGGGTGAAGGGAGGGTGAGGTAGAAAGGGGGATCCGATTACAAGGATCTACATATAACCTTCCCCTCCCTGGGCGACAGACAACAGAAAGGTGGGTGAAAAGAGATGTCAGACAGTGTTTAAGATATGACAAAATAATAATAATTTATAAATTATCAAGGGTTCATGAGGGAGAGGGGAGCGAGGAGGGAGGGGAAAAAATAAGGAGCTGATAACAAGGGCTCAAGTAGAAAGCAAATGTTTTGAGAATGATGATGGCAACAAACGTACAAATGTGCTTGACACAATGGATGTAGGTATGGATTGTGATAAGAGTTGTACGAGTCCCCAATAAAATGATTTTTTAAAAGAAAGAAGTCCAAACTGTACTGAAGGCACTGGTGAAAAGCTAGGCTCCAGGCATTGATGAAACAGCAATTGAGCTGTTTCCAACAAACAGATGCACCACTGGAAGCACTCCCTAGTCCAGGACACAAGAAATCTGGGAGTCAGCTATCTGGCTAATCAACTGGAAAGATTCATATTCATGATGCCTCCAAATAAAGGCAATCCAATAGAATGCAAAAATTATCAAACAAAATCATTAAAATCACACATCAGTAAAATTTTGAAGATAATTTAAAAATGCTAACAGCAGCCCATCAACAGGAACCTGTCAGAAAGTCTAGCAGGATTCAAAAGAGGACATGGAACTAGGGATAGTATTGGTGATGACAGATGGACCTTGGCTAAAAGCAGACAATGCCATAAAGAGATTATCTGTGATTTATGGACTATGCAGAAGCATTCAACCGTGGATCATAACAAACTATGGAGAAGACTGCAAAGAATGGGAATTCCAGGACACTTAAATGAGCTCATGTGGGACCTGTATATAGACAAAGAAGCAGTTGTTTAAATAGAACCAAGGGCATAATTCCTGGTTTAAAATCAGGAAAGGTATACATCACCATACTTATTCAATCTGAATGCTGAACAAATCATCCAAGAAGCTGGGCTATATCAACAAGTACGGTACCCAGCATCAGGACTGGAGAAGATCCATTAGCAGCATGCAATAGACAAAGGATACAATCTTGCTTGCTGAAAGTGAAGAGGAACTGAAGTACATTCTGATCAGGATCAAAGACTACAGCCTTCAGCATGTATTATACTTCAACATAAAGAAGACAAAAATCCTCACAATGACCAATAAGCGACATCATAATACATGAAAAAAAAGACGGAAGTTGCCAATTCCGTTTACTTAGATATACAATCAATACCCATGGAAGCAGCAATCCAGGAGTCAAACAGCATATTGCATTGGGCAAATCTCCGGCAACCAACCTCTGTGAAGATTTCAAAAGCAAAGATTTCACTTGGAGGACTAAGGAGTGTCTGATCCACGCCATGGTATTTCAATCTTCTCATATGCGTGTGAGAGCTGGACAATACATAAAGAAGGCCTGAAAGGAATGGATGCATTTCAGTTGTGGTGTTAGTGAAGAATGCCGAATATACCATGCACTGTCAGGAAACAAACACATTTTTAAAAAATAATTTTATTGAGGGCTCATATGACTCTTAACACAATCCATACATACATTCATCAATTGTATAAAGCACATTTGTACATTATTTACCCTCGTCATTCTCAAAACATTTGCTCTCCACGTAAGCCCCTGGAATCAGCTCCTCATTTTTCCCCCTCCCTCCCCGCTCTCCCCTTCCTCATGAACCCTTGATAATTTATAAATCACTATTTTGTCATAGCTTACACTGTCCAATGTCTCCCTTCACCCACTTTTCTGTTTATTTTGTAAGAAGTACAAAGAGAACGCTCCTGAGAGGAAGGGTGCTGAGACTTTGTCTTGTGTGCTTTGAGCCTGTTACCAGAGGTACCAGGCCCTAGAGAAGACATCAGGCTTGGAAAAGGGGAGGGTCAGCGAAAAAGAGGAAGGCTTCCAGTGAGAGGGCTGACACAGCGGCTTACAACAAAGGGTTCAAATACAACGGCAATTTTGAGAACAGTGTAGAAGCAGGCAGTGTCTCATCCTGCTGTGCACTAAGTTGCTATGAGTCAGAATTCTGTTGGCAGCATTTAACAATAATAGTGTTATAAGTGTAAACTATCTCGTTAATAATTTTATGTTGACTTCATATTGAAATCGTACTTTTAGATAAGCTCCGAGATAAATAGAATTATTAAAAGTCATTTCACCTTTTTATAATGTGGTAAGTAGACATTTTAAAATTAAATATGTGGCTGGGGTTATATTTTTATTGGATAGCACTGATCTACAGTGCCAAACAGCTATTGCATAAATGAGTAATGGTTCTCTCTGAGCACTAACTTGTTCTTCAGTAAAACCAAGTAATAATAATACTTAATTTATAAGGCTGTTATAGAAAGTAAACTAGACCATACATGTAAAATGCTCAGCACAAGACCTAGACATACTAAGTACTCAAAAATGAGAGCTGTTCTTATTATTACCTCCCAGTACTGGGTAATGGTTTCTAGACCTGGCTCTTCTAATATGTAACTATATGATCTGTGTAAGTAAAGCAATCTCTCAGATCTTAGTTTTCTTATCAGAAATTTGGTAACTGATACTCGTCCTGATTGAGTTGTTTTAAGAACTGAATTCACTTAGTCAACACAAATTTATTAAGCATCTAATATGAGCCAGACACTATTCTTGGCACTGGGAAAGAGCTATGAACAAATCAAATGAATTTTCTGTCCTCTAGGGAGGAGATACATTTTTTCAAATTATTACACATAGAATGTTAGGTAGTAATAAAAGTCATGAGGAGAAACAAAGCAAAGAAAGTGGACAGGTAATGATGGAGACGCTATTTTAGGTTGATGAAAATCTTCTCTTTGGATTGATATTTGATCAGGAACTGAACAGACATCTTGAGAGTCATTAAAACTGAAGCAAGAATAGGTTTAAGGTCCCTGAGGTAAAAGGATGCTCAGCGGGCCTGGGAAAGAAGAAGGCAGCCAGTGTAGCTGGAGAGTAAAATGGAGACACAAGAGAAGGTTTGACCAAACCATGGAGGGCCTTGGAGGCTTCAGGATAAACTCTGGATCTCATTCTAGAGCCAGTGGAGGGTTTTGAGTAGGTTTTTTAAAGGATCCCTCATGTGCACTGAAGGAGATGATGCAAGCGACAGGCTCAGTGTGGGAGCCAATGATGCAAGGCAACAAGATGGGGCTCAGCTAACTCCCAAGGCACCCTGGATGACTAAAACCCTCTTGCATGCAGGATGGCCGGGAAGATGTGGGCATGGGTAGAAAACACTTCCACAGTTTGGGAGAGGAGTTCCAAGACTCTGGGAAGGAAGGCCAAGGTCACCTTGTAGCCAATATACCTGTATTCCCTTATTTCAAATACCAATAGGGTCATCCATTGGTGGACAGGTTTTAGCAGAGCTTCCAAACTAAGATGGACTAGGAAGAAGGAAATGGCTAATAACTTCTGAAAGAAGTCACTGAAAATCTTATGAATAACAGTGGAATGAATAGTGTCTCACATAATGCCAGAAGATGTGCTCCTCAGGTTGGAAAGCCCTCGGGCGTGGTAGGGGGGTCAGTAAAAACGGCTGCAGCGATGGGCGTGAGTGTAGCAACGATGGTGAGGATGGCAAGACCGAGCAGTGTTTCCCTCGGCTGTGCACTGGATTGCTGAGCCACTGCAGCCTCAGCAGCATCTGCTGACAGCATCCCTCAAAGTGCAACCTCCTGCAAAACAGTCCGCCACGCGAGCAGTCAGGTGGCCAGAGCCACAGCAGCACCCTGGCTGCAGAGAAAACACGATTCCTTCCGAATCTAGCATTTTAAAGAAGTACCCACTGTTTACCGTGACAGAGAATGGCCATTGCACAAATGTAGAAAGTTCAAGTAAACAAAAAGACGAAACAATAAACTGCAATTACCTGGGATTCCACAATCAGAAATAACAGTAAATAATGTATTCAGCTATATATTTATGAATATGTAAAATATCAACTCTAGACCTCTTTACCCAAATATGTGTTATACATCTTCTTACAAACGCCATGTTCTCTACAATGTGTGCTGTGACCCACGCCTTTCACTAAGTACTCACACTGTGCACGTTCCCCAAGGTGAGGAGCGGTGAAGTGCTGCATGGTATTTCTCAATGATGTACCAGGCTTGCTTCTCTGGGCATCTGGGTAGTTTGTTACCTGAACAAGGAGCCCTTTACAGTGACCCCCCTCCAGCTCCCTGGCGTGGTGATGTCCATACTTACGGCAAACTCCTCGGGAGTCACTTTCAAGACATCGAAGACAACGGCATCATAGCTCTTGCTGGCATAGTCGCAGCTCTGGCCCTCCAGAGAGTCTGAGCTGCTGCTGCCCTGTGGGGGACAGGGGGACAGGGCACCAACTGAAAGGTCTGGCTTAGTCTCACTGACTCATACACCTCAGAACTGAGGATTCGAGAGGGACAGAATTGTACGATACAGTCTGATACTTGATCCCAGCGCTGAGCACTTTACATGCAACATCTCACTTCCCGTATATGCTCGAGTATAAACTGACCCGAATTTTTACCACAAAAACTGCATAAAACAAGTGCTGAAAAACTCTATCTATACACACGTATATACGGTAATTCTCATAACAAATTCTTGGAGGGCCCACCATTATTACTCCTATTTTACTAATAATGAAATAGAGGCAATGTAGTACACACACACACACACAATAGCCAGAATTTGAGCCTAGCTGTTTATTTATCTGATTGTGAAATGCATACTTCCAATCACTGCAACCCTTACATTTCCAGCTGGTGGGGTTTTTTGGGGGGGTTTTGGGGGGAGGGGGTGGCTAGGTAGTGGGGGGAATGTTACCACTCTTCCTTGGTATAGGCCTTCCTTGAATAGGCCTTGGTATCTTAGAAGGTCTGAAAAGATAATGTGTTACATTATGTTTTTTGTTTTTGTTTTGTTTGTTTTTTAATTCTAAGGTCAATTTTTATACATTGTTTTTAAAACATTACCTGGGTTCACCTTTTCTTCTCTACTTGAAGTCAGTATTAGAAATTATTGTAAAATGTAAAAACACATGTGGTGCATTTTATGTACGGGCAGTTTGGAATTCAAAGCCTGCTGGGAGATGAGGTGAGAGGAAATCAGTTGGCTTTAGAAACTGGCCTGGAAGTCCTATTTAGTACAGTTTTTGTGTTAAGGACATTGTAAATACCGCATGTAAGAATGGCTTTGCCATAAAAAAGCAAGGTAAAGTTTCCCGAATGAGGCTGGTTTCAAGAAACCCAACACGGTCAGGATCCCAGCAATGCTGACCATACCTTCTCTTCACTTTTTCTCACTTGATCAACTCTACTTCTGTGAACCAATGGTGCTTGCCGCCCAGACACTGTGCCCTGTGCATCAACGGCTGTGTTCCTCTCACTCATGCAGAGGGAGTTTGTGGTTTCCATTAACCTCAACATTTGGGGCTGGGATTTACAGAATATGCTTTTATTAATTCCTCTTTATTTCACTCTTTCCAAAAAGTCTATATCTGGAAAATTTTTGCAATCTTACTGGAAATGGGTGTGCTTTTAAGCCAGGAAGGGGAAACCAATAGTCAACAACTGAGACTGTGAGGTTAAAATGATGAGCCAGGACTTAAACCTGGATATTTCAGTCGGCCTGTGTCATTTACAGGTTTTACAAATGAGTTCACTATAAGTAGGCTTATGCGGTACATGTGAGGGGGTACCCCAACAAAACCGGAATTTCCCCCCCAAAGCTATGTATTCAAATATTTTTACAAAACAACCTTATCATCCTCAAAGTACTCTCCATTACACTTAATACATTTGTCAAATTTGTGCTTCCATTCTTGTATTGTTTTGTTTTGTTTTGAAATCATTTTATTAGGGCTTATACAACTCTTATCACAACCCATACATACATCAATTGTGTAAAGCACATTTGCACATTCATTGCCCTCATCATTCTCAAAACATTTGCTCTCCACTTCCCCTGGCATCAGCTCCTCATTTTTGCCCCCTCCCTCCCTGTGCTTCCATTCTTGAAAACATTTTTCAAACTCATCTATTTAGATGGCTTGGCAGCACCTCTCTCTTTTTTTTCCTTCACCCTTTCTTTGTCATCAAATCGCTGTCCTTTCATGTCCCTCTTCATTTGCAGAAACAAAAAGAAGTCACACGGAGTGGAGTCAGGTGAGTAAGGTATGTGGACAAGAGAGACATGCTGCTCTTTGCTGAAAACTGGTGCACTGAGACGGCCGTGGTAGCAGGAGCATTGTCGTGGTGGCAAAAACAGTCCTCCATTTGCCACAAATCAGGCCTTTTTTGTCGCACACCATTATGCAATCTTTTCAGAACCTCTAAATAGAAAGCTTGATTAACAGTCTGACCTGGTAGAATGAACTACAAATCCACTATCCCCCCTACATCATAAAAACAAATAAGCATTGTCTTGATCTTTGATTTCACTTGAGGAACTTTTGGGCAAGGTGACAATGGCATCTTCCACTGGCTTGACTGATGTTTGCTTTTAGAGTCCTAAGATTAGCATCATGTCTTCTGACCTTGGAAAAAACACCTGGGTCACTCTGGAACTGTTCTTTCAAAGCCCAGCATGGCTCCAGTCAACGCTCTTTTTGCTGGTCAGTCAGAACCCACAGCACAAATCTCACACTCATCCTTCTCATGGCCAAATCCTCCTTTAAAATTCACTGAGCTCCAAGATACTCCAGATGACTTCCCCATCTCGTCAATGGTCCGTCGGCAGTCTTCAAGCACAGGCACATGGATGTTGTTGACATTTTCATCCGTTCGGGAAGTTAAAGTCCAGAACGAGATTTGTCATCAATCAACATTTCACCTTTTTTTAAATGAGAAAACCACTTGTATACCTAATTTTTTGTAATAGCACTGTCCTTGTCCCATAGTGCTATCCTTGTAAGCCCTGTTCAACATCACAACAGTTTCTGTGGCATTTTTCCCAAGCACAGCAGTTCTCAACCTGTGGGTCTCGACCCCTTTGGGGGTTGAACGACCCTTTCACAGGAGTCACCTGATTCATAACAGTAGCAAAATGACAGTGATGAAGTAGCAACAAAAATAATGTTATGGTTGGGAGTGACCACAACATGAGGAACTGTATGAAAGGGTCACGGCATTGGGAAGGCTGAGAACCACTGTCCAAGCAGGAAACAAAATTTCAGCACTGCACACTGTTCTCCTACGTTGGCCATCACAAAAAACGAGGTTCAGTGAAACTGCTTTTATGAAAAAATTCACTGTGACCAGAGAGAACCTTCCCAGGGGGCACCACTGGGTGCACTTACTCAGAGCAAGGTGCTCCATGCTTACCCAACAGGAAAAATGCCCAGTGGAGCTTTTTCCATGTTTTTAGGGGGGTGCCCCCTCGCATAGTGGCTAAGAGCTCTGAAGTTAGACAAGGCTGGTCAGAAGGTTGCCTCCACACCAGTTGCTATCTGGCCTCAGGCAAATGGTTTCATTTTACTCTCAATCACCACCTGTAAGAGGGCTATATTAAATCCCATTTCCCAGCATTGCACTATGGGTTATATAAAATGAAGGGCTACAAGGCAACTAGAAGATGTTGATGCAAGAGGCCTAGTGTAGCTCAGGAAAGCTATTTAAAAGTTTTGCAGGTCTGTGTTGGAATAATCAACCATTTAATAACAAAGGGCAGCATTTTTCCAAGGGCAAAGTACAGAGGGCTAGGAAAGGAAGAGGGATGGACGCAAAAACCACAGGGAGGAAGAGGGATAAGTGAAGGCACATTGAGGGGCTGCACTGGTGAGAAGAAACAAAATGTGCATAACTGCTGATTGTAAAACGGTGGGCTGCTCCATAAACCTACACCTCTCCGAGAGAAAGCACTATGAGCTGAATAAGGTTGGCCACGATAGTGGGACAGGTGGAAAGTAAAAAGAAAGAGAGAAAAGAACTAGGAGGCTAAAGACATGTATAGAGGCACAAATATAGGCATGCACATTTGTAAATATATAAATATATTAATAAGGATATAGGTCTATGTACGTATATTTAAATGTTAAGTATTAAGGCAGCAGATGGGCATTGGGTCTCTACTCAAGTCCTCCCTCAACGCAAGAACACTTTGTTCTAAAAACCTGGCATTCTGTGGTGCTCACCTTCCCGGCATGATCACTAAACCCGAAATGGATGCATAGACAAATGTGATGAAGAAAGCTGATGGTGCCCAACTATTAAAAGATAAAGTATCTGAGGTCTTAAAGGCTTAAAGATAAAGTAGCTGAGGTCTTAAAGCCTTGAAGTTAAACAAGCGGCCATCTAGCAGAGAAGCAACAAGTCCACATGGAAGAAGCACATCAGCCTGTGTGATCACGAGGTGTCGATGGGATCAGGTAACAGGCATCAGAAGACCCCAAACAAACAAATATATTGATGCAAAGGATGGAAGTCAGAGAAGAGACCCAAAGCCCATCTGTTGACAACTGGGCATTCCCTCACAGAAGGGTCATAAGGAAGGAACGAGTCAGCCAGGGTGCAGCATAGCACCAACAGAACATACAACATTCCTCTAGTTCTTTAAAGCTTCCTGTCCCCCACTATCAAGACCAAAGTTCTACCTAACATATCCGGCTAGACCAGGACATATACAATGGTACACATAAGAGCTCTTGACATACAGAATCCAGGACAGATAAACCCCTCAGGAACAGTAATGTGAGTAGTGATACCATGGTGGGGGGGAGGGGAGGGGAGTGGGGAGAAGAGGGAGAAACAGGGAACAGTCTACAAGGATTGACGTATAACCCACCCCCCAAGGGACAAACAACAGAAACATGGGCGAAGGGAGACAGTGAACAATGTAAGATATGAAATTAATAATTTGTAATGTATCAGGGTTCCATGAGGGTGGAAGAGTGGGGGAGGGAGGGAAAAAGAGGAGCTGATATCAAGGGCTCAAGCAGAAAGAAAATGTTTTGAAAATGATGACAGCAACATATGCACAAATGAGTTTGATACAATTGATGTATGGATTGTTATAAGAGCTGTAAGAACCCTCAATAAAATGATTATTAAAAAAAAAACCCTTCACCTCATTCACAATAAAAAGACACACACACAGCCTACAAAGTTTAATAAAGGAATTAACAATAAACATGGTATGCCTGCATATGATTTATCAAAAATAAAATTTTCACAGGAGATAGGCCATTTTTCCCTTTCCTCAGAGAAAACTTTTGAAAAGAAATAAAAGACCAAGCTGAATGCCTTTACCTTCCCGTCTTCATACACTGGCCTGAGTAGAAGATGGTTTATAAATCATCCTACGCTTTGGGACCCACCTTTCAGGAAGCACGC